CCCAACCAGCCACTTGTGCCTCTTGCTCCTGCATGGCGGCCTGGCTGTGCGGCGCAGAAGTCAGCCGAGTGCCACGGGGGGAGGCAACAACGCCACCCAGAGGGAACAGCCAGTGTTTCAGCGTTACAGAATCACAGACACTGGGCTACTATAGATATGATATGCCTCACAAGGCTGAAGTGAGAAGTACATTAAGGAGTGTGGATTATTGTAATGAGGCCCGCATAAGTATGATTAGATAGATGCATACATATGGGGATGGATGGACAGTTAGGTAGTACGAAGGAAGACAGCTGTGATGTTGCTTTCTTCACGCTACTGTAAATCAAATAATTGCAAACCACCAAAGTCCCATTGTCTGGTGGGTTGAATTTCATGCTTCCCATTTCTGAGTCCTGTTCCCATCTCTACCATGCATTGAGCCTTCAGAATACTTTCCATATAACTTGACGCATCTCAAGGGATCCTGCTATTTTATGGGCTGACATTGTGCTTGGTGCTATACATTCAGGGACCTGTTTAAATCTCCACAGCCTTTTCTGACTGACGGGGCTGGGTATAGAGGAAGGAGAAGAAAGGGGACATGGACAAGAGAAGTCTATTTGCTGAAGGAATATAAAAAGAAATTGAGGGGAGGGGCCCCCTCCACACTCCCACAGCCTTAATTCCAGCCCGGCTGCATCTGCAACCCGTATCCATTCACTAAGTATCTTTCCCTTCAAGAGATAACACTAGCAGATGGTCTCTAAATCCCAGGGTGTAAAGCAGCCAAACTGTGTTTGCCTGAGTGGATGAAGAAGACTAGGACATCTCAGCCGGGTGCTCCCACGTATAATCCCTGCAAATCATTTTCCCCGCTCTGCGTCCTGAGGCGGCGTTAAGGGGAATCTTCCTCACACATTTAGATAAGGGCTTTCCTGCAGAGGTGGGTGGACATTTGGCAGCCTGAAAGGAATTTTTCCTTCCCATTAAATCACCCGGCAACAATGGTTTATGGGGCTAGCTTATTTGACAGTGGTGTCTGCTCTTCCTGCTTCTCTGGCTTTATGGAAGGATTAATCGGACCCGTCATCCCTTCCCCTTGTGGTAACATGAAGCCTGTGATCTGCATATTCACAAAGGCAACGAGCTGGCCAGCCCAGCTGAGTACATTTGGCTTGGGGTATTTGCTGCTTCCCCGTGTTCCAAGGCCGGGGATTTGTGATCTCTGGAGATCTGTGTTCAAATCTGTGTCTTGGCTTAGAAGATGCTGGCAATTTCAGTCGAGCGTCATGCCCACAAGGGGACATTTTCCATGTGCCACCGGATTTGGTGCAACCCTTTGGTTTGATGCGGTTGGCAGGGATGCGGCGGGATTGGGACTGGGCTAAAAGAATCAACTTCAGAGTTAGCGAGGTTGGGCCTGGCTCCCTCCCTGGCTGTGAATAATACCCAAGGTGCCAACAGCCTCTCTGGAACCCTGGGCAAGGTTTGTGTGGGGGGGTAACGCCGTGCTCCCGGAAGAGGCGGGGCCTCAGGTGGAAGAGGCGTGGCTGGGGGCAGTCAGCCCTCTGCTCCGTCTGGAGCACGTCACTCTGCCCCCTCCCGTCCCCGAGTGCCACTAGATGGAGGCTGCAGCTGCTGCCAGGGGCCCCAGGCCCTTTGCCTCGCTGGGCCAGCCGCCCCTTTTGCCTCCCCCAGCGTCAGTGGGCCTGATGGTACCCAGATCGTCACATTGGTCGAATGCTCAGTTGCAAGAACCTTGCATTGGTTGGGGCCCGTCAGGCTTCTGAAACCAGAATTGAGGGGTGTGGGCAGTGTACCACTGTGAAGCTCAGGAGTGCAAAAGCAGGGGGTGCTGTGAGTCCGCGCTGGGGTGGAGTAGCAAAGCGGGGCGTGAGGAGGATTGGGCGGGCATCTTCAGAGCAGTCGGGGAGCCTAGCACTGAAATCCCAGGGGCACTACAAGGTTGGGACCAGTTGGATTGGCAGAGCCTTGTGAGTCCTAGGATTTGAATCGAGTGGATCCTGCAGCTCAGGACTGAGCGTCCTAGCAGAACTGCGTGGGGCAGCAGGTCGTGAGGTGACAGCTCCAGAGAAGGTGCATGGAGGAGCAGGGCTGCCCCTAAGATTTCTGGGGCCCTGCACAGTGCTATTAAACTGATGCCTCTATGCCCGATGGCAACCTGGAGGGATAATATTTGAGAGATGTGACTGTGTAATCTTCAGCCACACCCCAATGAAATAGTTTTAAAGCTCATTTTAACTAAGGTCCTGTCGAGCCACACGGTAAATTCAGAAACGGACAGTCTAGACCTGGGGTTGGCAAACGCCTGTGATATGGCTATTACCACTTGAATGGTCTTTCCCAGGTTCAGTGGTCCACCAGTAAATCCTCTCCGGAGAAAGCAGAGCCACAGAGCAAGGATAGGAAGAGGCGGGTGGGTGGACACGACGACCCAGCGGTGCCCCACATTTTCAGGCGCCCTACACAGCTGTGTGTTCTACATATGAGTAAGGCTGGCTCTGCGGAGGCATGTGCAAAGAATTTTCCATATACCGTGAGTGTGTAGGGGCCAACCAGTACTGCCAGCCTCCCATTGTCATGCAGGAGATTCACACCCCTCCCTTCACATCCCACAAAGAGAGCAGAGCTTGTTCTGGTGAGCACGGCTTTGCCCATCCTCTACAGAGTAACCAGAGAGGCATTTGGAGACCACTGAGGTCCGGATGAAGGGCCAGACCAGAGTGGGAGGATGCCATATTTATGCACGCGCTCCCTCCCCTCCCCCAGCTTGCCTGCCTCCCCTGCTTGATGATAACTGCTTGCCCCGTGTTTCCCTCCGCACAGCTCAGTTCTCCTATGAACCCCGTCAGCAGCACAGAAGACATTAAACCGCCCTTGGGACTCAATGGAGTTCTTAAAGTGCCAGCACACCCCTCCGGAACCATGGCCTCCTTCACCAAGCACATATGCGCCATCTGTGGGGACAGATCTTCAGGTAACTCCCTCCCTGCCCATGATAGCTCGGAAAATGGGACATGGAGGAGAGGGTCAGGGTGGTGGACCTGGTGAAAGGGGAGTCCCCCTCTGCTTGTCTGCATTTGTCCAGCAGGAACATTCACAAGGCTTAGATTCCTGGGCCAGGGCAATGCAATGCTTCAGTTTGACCCGACTTCTCTCCTCACCTGAGTCCTGCCTTGGAGAGGATATAGAGCAAGTCCCCGCTTCCATCAGGGCCCAAAGAGCCGACTGGTCTGTGGCCCTTTAAAGCCACAAGGGGCTATCCCACAGTGTCTGAAGGTGCCATAGGAATAGATAAGACAAGTTGACTGGTCTGTGGCCACTTAAAGCCACAAGGGCTATCCCCCAGTGTCTGAAGGTGCCATAGGAATAGATAAGACAAGTGCAATCTCCACGCCAAATGTTCAGGGCCATCCGAAACCGAAAGCCCTACAGCTCTACAGACATCTGCTTTATATCCACAGGTAGCTGCACCTGCAGATGTGTCTGTCTGTGGATTATTTTTGCAGATGCGGATACCAATTGTGTGTCCATGCAGGACTCTACGATGCCCTACCTGGTAGGGCTGGAGCAGTAAAAGCTGAGCCTCTTTGTGGACAGCGATATGTAGGGGGCAATGACCCATTTATAGGCCCTACCGTCACCCTTTTGCGATGGGGCTGCAGGGGATTGGGTTTAATTGAGTGGCGGGGCTAGAGTAGCCTCAACCCTCTGCTGAAAACAAACCAAAGCGACCTGTGGTTTGAAGGTGCCCTGACCACCGCTCTGCTCACAGTGAGTTCACTCAGAGAGAGCTTCGGTTCACGGGCTACCCTAGGGAGCCTGATCAGACCCAGTCATGCTGGTTCACCATCCAAGTGGCACTTGGCAGGTTCCTCTGTGCTCAGAGAACATGATGTGGGGAAAGGGTGAAATTTTCCCTCAACCTCTGCTTAGAAGCTGGTCGCGTCATTATATATTGAGAAACTGGCTGCCGCTGGAGCCATGCAGCTCCTCCTTCTGCTGGAGGCTTTTTATCCATCTCCTTATCCCACATCCTTTTCTCTAGTGATGAGGCTGTTACACCGCTCTGGATAAAACAGGGCTGGGCAGGATGCAGCCCAGGGGCCAGATGCAGCCAGCCGAACACTTTGATCCGACCTGTGGACGGCATCTAGACTCTTTCTATTTATATCCTGCTGCCCATGCCACCGAATTTCCAGGCGGTGGCTCAGGCAGCAGGATCCTATTTAAATAGCTCATGGTTCCCAGTCACGGTGCTACCCTGGCAGGGGCCGGAGCCACGAGCTCTTTAAGTCACTGCAGAAACCTGGGCGGCTTCCTGGCCACGTGGAATTCACATTTTTAATTCAAAGCCTCCAGCCACAGACCACTCTGGGGGGAGGCTAGTCCCCAACTCTGCCCCATGCCCCGCCCCTTGCAGGAGAAAGGGGAGGGAAAGCTGGGTCATGGCCATGTAGCAAAATTCACTAAGGGTATGTCTAGACCAGTGTTTCCCAAATTTATTTGGCCACGGAACCCTTTTTAAAAAAAACGCCGGGGAAAACTGGTCAAACAAAAAAAACGGGGCTGGGGAGCTGTCAAGCAAAAAAAAAAGCCGGCCTGTCCCTAAGACTGCGACGGCCCCTTGAAAATGGTGGCCCTGGGCTTGCCCGCCCCTAAGAGCAGCTCAGCAAGGGGAATTTGGGGAGTGATCAGGTTCTCGCGGAACCCTTATTTTCACTTCGTGGAACACCAGTGTTCCGCAGAGCTCTACTTGGGAAATACTGACCTAGATTACAGAGCTTTCCCGGAAAAGCTCTGCTGCATCCAAGGAACGCGTCTGCTTTTCCGAAAAAAAAAAAATTAGGAACGCAGATGCCTTTTTCGGCATCCCTGTAAACCTTGTTCTACGAGGAAGAAGGGATGTTCTAAAAGAGGTTTTTTTTCCTGACATTTGGCCCTATATAGATGGGCCAAATGTTGGAAAAGCCTCTTTCAGAAGAAAAGTCGGAAAAAGATACGCAAATTGCAAAATGCAATTTGCGTATCTTTTTCTGACTTTTCTTTGTAGTGCAGACATAGTGTAAATGACCCCCCTGCAAAAATTACTGCCCATCCCGGGATGAAAGATACACTTCTGATTGATTGTTCTGACTCTGTACAATAAAGTAAGTTCCTCCCTTTTCTTCTCATGTCACTGTAACTCTTAGACAGGGCCCCCCAAGGGTCCCTAAACCACAGGTTGAGAGCCACTGACTTAGGGTCTGTTTACACAGCAACTAGACACCTGCAGCTGATCCGTGCCAGCCAGCTTGGGCTTGCTTGTCTTTCTCGCTGAACTCTTACAGGCAAATTTTGCTCTCTGCTACACCTCCATGACTTCACAGAGGAAGGTAATCTGATGTAACTCAGAGCAAACTGTGTCGTCTCAGTCCCATCCATGAGGAAGCTGCTGAAAGGGGTGTTAATTCTCACATAGATTATTGCGTGTGCTGTGGGAAACCTCAGCAACGAGTCAGCCAGGTCGCTTGTTCGTTTCTTTTGATACCCCAAGTGCCACTGACAAAGAGACAAATAACACTCCTGGCAGGCCCCCACTGCTCTATTTACCTGCACCTAGGAAGGTAAAGATGATTGCAGCTCCCATTGGCTGCGGATCACCATTCCCAGCCAATGGGAGCTGTAGGAAGCAGTATGCCTGTGTGTACCACTTCCCGCTGCTCCCATTGGCCAGGAACAGCGATGCATGGCCCATGGGAGCTGCCATCGCTGGTACCTGCAGCTGTGCAGGTAAATACAGTGGCAGCGGCCCGCCAGGGGCTAAACCTGGAGAACTGCCACCATGTTATTGCCCACCCCTGGGTTAGAACACAATTGTGGGTCATGATGTTAAACATGATTTGTAGCCCACATGTATAGGGACTTCTTGTCCATCATCATAGAATACCAGGACTGGAAGGGACCTTGAGAGGTCATCGAGTCCAGTCCCCTGCCCTCATGGCAGGACCCAGTACTGTCTAGACCAGTACTGTCTTGGCATGTGGGTACGCCAAGGCCTTTACTTCCAATTGGGTTTGATCCACAACCAGCAGACATGATGGCAAACATGGGGTTGAGACAGGTTGCCAGGGCAACATGGGGGAAGCCTGCCTGAATGTTGTACCTTTTCAGTGCGCGGATAAAGGGAGGTCAGGACCTTGTCCAGGCTGGGATGTCTTGATTGAGCTAACCAGCCTGATTGCATTATAACCTGCAAAAACCCCAGGCGAGACAAAGCAATTGTACATTAGCACACACTAATTTGGCCATGATAAAGCCTGACCCCACTTCAAACCCTATGCTAGACAAGGCCTCAGGTAATTTAAGTCCCCAGAGGAGACTGGAGGTTGGCGTGGGCGCTGTTTGTTCCTCAGGGCATCTGCGTGACTTCTGAATTTCTTCATCGCCCTCGCTCCCCTGCAGGTAAACATTACGGGGTGTACAGCTGCGAGGGCTGCAAAGGTTTCTTCAAGCGCACTGTGCGGAAGGACCTCACCTACACCTGCCGCGACAACAAGGATTGCTTGATTGACAAGCGCCAGCGGAACCGGTGCCAGTACTGCCGGTATCAGAAGTGTCTGGCTATGGGCATGAAGCGAGAAGGTAAGGCAAACAGAGCAGCGGCCCGCCCTACACTGGCCGGCATGGTGCAGTGGACCCGGTAGGTGCTCAGATACACACCGTCAGCCGGAGTCTGTCAAGAAGAACCTCCCTCCTGTTTCTAGCCTTGCAATGTAACACACACAAAACCTGCACTAAGCCCCTTTTGTTGCTGACTGTGAATGGAGCCAGGAATAAAAGCCAACGCTGTCACTATGGGTCCTGATTATGCTGTTGGTTGCTACACAGAGAGTGGATTTTCTCCCCGTGCATATCTCTCTTGCGTATAGTCTATGCTTGTTCCACGGTGCCCAGTAGCAAGGTGCAAGGCCAGATGTGTCTCTGAGAGAAGTGTATAGTCTATGCTTGCTCCACGGTTCCCAGTAGCAAGGTGCAAGGCCAGATGTGTCTCTGAGAGAAGGCTGTTGCCTAAGTAACTCACTTAGTTCCCTCACCAGCCATAGGAGATGTATGAACAGCCTCCGCGCCATGCTGCTGCTTTTATTTCCCACTAGGCGATTTACCTGGAATCCTTAACTCAGTGGATTTTATATATTTATTTATTGACTTACTTATTTTGGGAACTAAAAGGAAAACGTATTCACTTCATTTATTTTTCAAAACGAGGGGTATTTTAGTGAAGTTCATTTTTATGTTAGAGTTCTTTAAAAAGGGATGGTTAAAATTGGTTTAATTTTTTTAGTACTTTTTTTTAAAAATGAGAATTGCATCAAGTGCATTTTTTTTCTTCGTTTCGATAAGCGCTGATCATTCATGATGTGTTAGCAAAAAAGGGCTAGTCTCAAATTGGTTTCCAGTAATATTGCCTTCTAGTTGTCAAAACTTAAGCATTAATTTAGCTGTGCCAAAACAGAGCATTACTCCAAATTTCTCTGTTATATCATTTTTTTCTGAAAGTTTATTGAGACACTTTCCTATTTCAGGTTTATCCTGTTTTTCTGGCTTGTTTCTTGGCTCAATCTCTTTCAACAGTCTGACTCTCAGTTATGTCGGTTTTGAGGGTTGCACTTGATTTGGCAGCGGGATCTCTTTTCTGTTTGGTTTTATCAGAGGCAATCCCATTCCAAGCACATCCTGGCTTTCTGGCACCAAGAAGCCCTTATGTTGCTTTAAGTTATGAAAAGAGGAAGCTGCCTACCAAATTTGGTGGTCCTAGCTCATATCATTTAGGAGTTCTTGATCAAACAGACAGATGGACAAACTCTCTAAAATATATAGTAGATAAGGAGTGGTCACCTCATCAGATTCTTCGGGTTACACAGACCCAAGTAATTTTACACTATGTGACATGATATTGCTGTGTATTAATCTGCCCAAAGAAAGCTCTGAAGGTGCAAGAAAGATGTTCGTTTCAAAGGGGTGAAGCAAAGCAAGACCTGGGTAGCATCAGATATTATTGTCCAGTGGCATGGAGGAAGGCAACCAAAAGATATAGATTTGCCTTGTATTTAAAAATCTTTCCCAATTTTCAGAAGGCTGTACAGCCCATAGGAAGGTGTGAACGCAGGGCTATCATTTTAAGTACAAGGCTCTTGGATTAGATATATGTTGGGTAACAAGCACTGTAATCTGATCTGGTCCATCCTTTACAGATAACATGATCTGAAATGATATTAAATCCCAGAAAATTGGTGTAGATTATTAAACAGGACACGGTCAAAATACAAATCACGTGTTTAATAAAATGCTTTCCCTTCAGCACTTCCGATTAGTAAAGCAGAAAGAATCTTTTTAAGTCTAATTTATTCTTCATGGGGTTCTTGGTTTATATTTTGCACTTCACATAGGCTGAACTAGACTGGTTAGGTTCATTTTCTCTTTGCCGTCACTTATACTTTCGAGTCCTATGCACTCATCCAGTGCAGTTGTGTTGGGGTTTCCAGTGTTGTAGGAGAAAAGTTGAAGTCCTGTGTTTTCCATGAGGAAAAAAAATCTTGAATTTTTGTTTGTTTAGTTTTTGTAAAACTGGCCTTCTCTCCCCCCGCTCCCCTCCCAAAAAATTAATTTTGATAGTGACCTCTTCAGAGCTTTTCACTACTTGACAGTGACTCTTCAGGGTTGCATTGGCCAGTGTCTGCTCATGACTTGAGAGTGACTGTGAATAATCCTCCATTGGTATCCTTCCCATCACTGATATCTGATCTCATTACGCCTTCTGAATCACATCTGCTGTGCTGACTGACACATAAAACCGTTCTGTGCTGCTCTCCGTGCTGCGGAGTCACAATAGTCGTGGGAGGGCAGAGCTGCAGGATGTGTCTCTTTGAAGAGCCGCGAGTCTGGTCTAGAGCATTAACTAAACAGGGCAGCGCTGGAGCTGTGTCTAGTGCTTAACAAACCCTGACACGCTTGATTTACGGGGTCATCTAAGGACCCGCACATGCAGATTCTTCAAATGTCAAAGCCGCCTCAGCTTGGGGTGCTTGGGAGTTCTAAAGGCAACGGATGAAAAGGGCATTTGGATGGGGCTAGGGGGAAGGGTTAGTTCTCCAGGAAGAGCAAACTGCAGAGTACTGAATTCCTAAAGGGAACCTTCCTCACCCCTGCAAACTCAACCCTGAGTGTCCGGAGTAGAGATTTCCGGAGGGGAAGCAGCAATATCTTTTGCTCTGTGGAGGGCTGGAAATGCCAGCAGATGTTCTGGGTGTTATACAAGGACTTTTTTGGTAACCATGGGAAAACCATGTCTAAGATACACATCTGTGTTCTGGCTCAGACACAGAATGTGCCTCTGGTAGGGGTCAGTTGTGAATTGGGTGCTGAGTGAGCGTGAGGGAGAGCAGGACGGGGGCTGCGTTCCCCCGGACTTTTCCGTGGCATAGTGCCATTTCCAGTCAGAAGCCACCGCTGCAGATAAGCTGACGCGTTGCCCCAGACTTTTCCGTGGCATAGCGCCATTTCCAGTCAGAAGCCACCGCTGCAGATAAGCTGAATGCTCGTCCGTCTCATTCTCAGCTGTTCTTCTCTCGCCTTTCTTACCCTGATTTGCGGGTTTTTAAGTTGGTGGGATCCAGAGCGTTTTGTTTGGGGCTCTGTATAGTATTAACGGACGTGAGAAACATCCCTCCCTACGCGAGCAACAAGCCTGCATTTCAGGCAGCCGCAGAAAGGGTACGAGTCTCATGGTGTTTTCTTGTGTAAGAGGTGGAGACTGCACAGCTGGCTCTACAAGCAGATAACAGGCCTCCCTCCCCGGAAGGTAAGAGGACTGTGCCTTTGGAAGGTAAAGCTAGCTTTGAGGCTGGCTTCCTCAGCTTCCCACAATACCCCCGGGGATACTGACTTCACTCCACAGCAGGTACAGTCCTCTGGCAGACAACAGAGGAGAGAGAGCACACGATGTCCTGAATCAACCCTGCCTTTGCCAAGCGGAAGTGACTGACAGACAAAAGTCACAAGCTGGGGCGAAGAAAGCAAATCCAGCAGGGGACAGGGACAGGAAGGGAAGAGGGTGGGGCGAAGAAAGAAAGTCACAAGCTGGGGCAAAGAAAGGGGACAGGGACAGGAAGGGAAGAGGGAGGAAAGTCTTTGGCCTTCAGAGGAAAATGCAGCCGGGCTCTTGGCTGTCGGCAGTGCCAGGAGTCTGGAGTGAATCAAGGACTGAGTTCGAGGGGATGGATTGTTTTCGGGATTACATCTGAGGAGTGGCGATAGAGGAGCGACGGGCAACCTAGGCTAGTGAGTGGGCTGCAGGAGTGGCCCTCCTTCATCCCAGGGGGCTACAAGACTGTCGTAACCAACACAACCTCCGGACAGAGGGTAGCTCGGCTCACTGCGCTTGCGGGGCCTAGAACATGCGGCTGGGGTGCCGATGGAACTGTAGCAGCGCTGGGATTGGATGCAGAGGGAGCGCCCGGCAATCACAGTCCGTGTTGTGTGCCACCGGCCTGCATCTCAGTGCACGTGCCCTGGCTTTACGGGTGTGTCGCTTGAGTAATCCCGCTAGGAAAAAAACGACATGGACAGAAACCAGCAGAATCTGGCAAGCCTGCGTGTGGCCTGTGGTAAACAAAATGTCTCACGGGCTGCATGTGGCCCGAGCCCAGCCATTTACACGACTGTTTTTAGCCCCACCGTGTGAGCCCCCATCAGCTTAAGCTGGGCTTTGCACCTCTTTGCCTTGGGTTTTTTTTGGGCTGTGTAGACGTGCCCTCCCTGAAAGCGTTTTGTGATGTAGACTCTATTGGCTCCGTGCGGGGCGCCCGGGATCACTCGGTGCTATGAAGGAAACAGTCAGTGGTGGGCAACAAATGGAGCCCAAAGGGGCTTCGGTTCGTGAGCACTTTGGGATGGGTTTGGCACTTCCAGAATCATCCTCTCTCCCTGAGACGGTGTCCCAGGATGAGCTGGGTCTGGAAAAGGATTTAAGGTCTCAGAGCCCTGAATCAGATGTTAGAGGATGATGTGTCAGAAGCCCAGAGCCAGTGCCTAGTAGAAGAGGTGCCATCCTTAAAGCAGGAAGGTAGACTATATGGGGTGCAGGGAACCTGCCTGGCTGAGGAAGGGCAGTGGACTGGGTCTCCCTGAGACGGTGTCCCAGGATGAGCTGGGTCTGGAAAAGGATTTAAGGTCTCAGAGCCCTGAATCAGATGTTAGAGGATGATGTGTCAGAAGCCCAGAGCCAGTGCCTAGTAGAAGAGGTGCCATCCTTAAAGCAGGAAGGTAGACTATATGGGGTGCAGGGAACCTGCCTGGCTGAGGAAGGGCAGTGGACTGGGTCTGGGGGGTTTGCTGCCATTTCAGATGGATTTAATTGCAGTGATTTGGCGCTCAAACACTGGCCCTAAGGACAGGGCTGCCTTATGACTTTCGTGGGCCCCTTCCTCCATAAAAAAAAACATTAAAAATGATGTTTGATACAACTTTAAACACTTCCATATTTTTTTTTTCTGTTTTAGGCAAAATGTAATAGATTTTCGTGGGCCCTAAAAGTTACGTTTTTTTCTAATGTGAGAAAAAAATTAAAACGTTTTCTTCGACCC